AACTTGAACTGCATGAAAGTGAAATTAATATGATGGTGTAGAAAACAGGGAAAATATTAGAAAATCATTCAGCATGCAATATTTACTTGCAAGCATGGCTTCTTTCAAGTTAAAAATGAAAAGAAAAAAAAATCCCACCAAACTTCCACAGCATTTATAATTTAATGCAAAGAAACAAATAAAAATGTCAGCAGTTGTTCATTATATGAGAAGCCTGAGCTGGTCTATCAATAGGTCTGGTGACCATTGGCAAAAATACATTCTGGATCGCTTCTCAGCCTTTTGGCTAAGATCAAGTGTAAAACTACATTCTGGTTTGGTATTAGATGGCCTACCAGGTCTTCTTGGTTCTTTGTCTACCCAATAATGGCGAACCTTTAAGAGCTTTGAGTGATACAAACAGCCTGCTGTGGCATGTGTGCCATAGGTTCGCCACCACTGGTCTACCCTCTTCTTTATTTAAAGTGGATTTTGAGCATATGCAGTATACTCGATTTTAGGTAAATGTAAAAATACAGTACTATTACTCAGGTTCAAGGAGAAACTCTGGGTAGTCTATATTTTACTAATTAAACTGAAAGGTCAAGTCTCTCTTTGGACTTTTAGAAATTAACACAAAAATTAGGGTTTAGTACATGAACCTTCTAAAAATATTCATTATCATTCTGCACTGTCATTTTTGTCTAAATGTTTTTATGGAAACAGAGTTGCACCAACCAAAACGTTACTTTTCCTACTTCAGAGTAAAACAGCACAGTATGAATATGAACAAAATTCATTTGGGGGCTGGGGATTTAGCTCAATGGTGCCGCTGCCTCAAGCACAAGGTCCTGAGTTTGATCCCCGATACCAAAAAAAAAAAATTCATTTGGTAGCACAGTCCAATCTTTCTACTCATGGTAGTTAGGGTAACTTTAGTCATAAGCAGTTGTAACTATAGTTGTGACAATACTACTAGTGTCACACAAAAGGAAATAATCTCAATTCTGCATGTGGGGCAGTATGTTCTATAAGTACCAAAAGGTGGGAGAAGCACAAACACAGCCCACTCTTTAAAGAAACCTAATTCAAAGAAGAAATTTCAGTTCCCCCATATCCTATAATTAAAAAGCAGGCCCTGGTTCTGGTACTCATGTTTGGTTTTTATCATGACCATTTATAAGTGTTCCCCCATTACTTGCATCATTAGCGTGATGGATAAAATAGTTTTCATACTGAAGAGAGGTGTATCTATTCTTTCCTCCTCTTGCTCCTTCCCTTATGCTCGTATTCCTTGGGGAAGGTGGTGACTAAGGTCTTTTAGAGCTATCATGCTGTTTGTCTTCTTCTAAAACTTGTCCAAACCAAAAGGATCTTCCTCAAATTGAACTGGTCCTTTTCAGCCTGTTTGTGGTCTGAACCATAAATCTACTTGTCAGGACCAAACCTGTTGGACTTCATTCTGGCTTCTAGGTCATCATACATGTCGTCCAGATTTTTATTGGACCTATAAATACTGTGAGACCCATCTTTACCACCTCTCCAGGCTGGGTCATAAATGTAAATTTCACCTCCACCTGGAAATCCAGTTCACACCCTTGAATTGGTTAAAACTTTGGTCATATTGAACTTCTATTAGAAGTCTGAGGATTGGCCACCCCAACATCAGTGGCTTCACTGATAGTCTGCTTTTCAGTTCTCTGAGTTGTGACCTCTCATCCTTGGAAAATTTCAGTCATGCTGTCTCTTTCCACCTCTCATGCTGGGTTTCATTATTCACATGCCTTCCCCATCTTCTTTTTCCATATGGGTTTTGATCCCAGTCCTCATCTCCATGGCTTTTTGGATAATTTTTCCTTTTCTTTTTGAGCCATCTGCCTTCTTGGGCACACATTTCCACAGAGTCACAAACCTTCTGATCTGTAATATATATAGCTTCAGCCAATTTGACAAAATTTTCATTTATGTGTACTGTCTGAAATCTTCCATCAGCAGCTAGATGTTTAATAGACTTGCATAACCCTTTGCATTTTTCCAATTGGAAATATAAGGAGGAATCTCCCATTCTTGTTCCTTAACAGTCATCTTTTAACTAGGAGAATGCACAACAGGTGCAGGAGAAGGTGGGCCCCAAGAAATTTTATTAATCTTGAACCATGGGGCTCCCTTAGATATTTCTGCATTTCTCCCATTTGAATAACTGTTTAGCTCCAGATTTAAAAGCCACTCCTTACTGAGACGGTGTGTATTAGATATTCTAAGCAGGAGCCAGTTTTCAGCTGCTTGAAATGGCCTGGCTGTGGCAACTTGTGACACAGCTTTCTCCAAGGATACAAGTGTCCTTTATTCCTTTAATAACTTGTGATGTCATTTCAGGTTTGGATCATCTGCACGTGTAACTTTTGGAACCTGGTCAGTATATTTACTGTATGTTATTTCCTATAAATGACCTTACGTTTTGACTGTCCTTGTTGAGAAATCACATTATATCTAATTTTTCCTTTGGGATTTACCTAAATGGTCTACACTTTTTTCTTTCATCCCATATTCTGTGGATACTAAGCCATGTGGATCTCTGGAAAAGCATCTCCATCTCCAAAATCCTAACAACTGAAGTATTCAGTCTTTCTGTTATCTGTAAGTCCTCTTTGGAAGACCAGTGAGGTCTGCCACGATCTCTGAGATTGTGTTTTTTCTTCAGCCTCAAGTTGGGCTTAAGATAGCTGAGTAGTTACAGGTAAAAAGCTGGTAAGCACCATCATTTTCTGTTCTACATATATTAAATTTGACCTGTAAGATGGTCCCAATGATCCCATCTCTTGGCCTTCAAACTCCTGAAGGTGGACTATTCTTAGTGACTTACAACAAAAATAGTATGACAAAAATGATGGATGTTACTTCCAAGGTTAGGTTTTAAAAACGTTGGTTTCCATCTTGATTTCTTTCAAATCATTCATCCCAGGAAGCTAGCTGCATGTTATGATATGTCCTGTGGAGCAAATCATGTGATAAAAAACTGAGGGAGGCCAACAAGCAGTGAGAAACTGAATCCCCAGTCTGACAACCTGTGAGGAACTCCTGCCAACAACCAAACCAGTGATCTTGGAAGCAGAGCAATCCTCAATCAGTCCTTCAAGTAGGACTGCAGTTCTGATTAACACTTTGCAACACTCAGAGAACTTGATTCACCAAGAAGCAGCAACAGCTTAATAGACTTTTTGTTTGTTTTAAAGTTTCATGTAAAGAAATAATCGTTTGTGTCTGGCTTCTTTTACTCAGCATGTTTCTGAGATCCATCAATGTTATTGTATATACAATACTAGGTTCGTTATTTTTTTGTTGCTGAATGGTATTCAATTGTGTAACACATTTATCCATTCAGCTGTTAATATATATTTAGGTTGCTTCCAGGTTTTAATGAAGAAAGCTGCTATGAACATTCATATGTCTTTTTAACGTTATTTCTCTTGAAAAAATGTTTATTTTTTATTTTAGTAGTACATGTTTGGAGTACATGCAGTTTACAATCATCCTGGGGAGTAGTTACATGTACATACTACAGCTTTTTTTTTTTTAGCCCCTTCCCTTATCCCAATTTTCTTTTTTTTGTACCGGGATTGAAGTCAGGACCTTGCGCATGTGAGGCAGGCAGCAGAACCACTGAGCTAAATCCCCAGCCCCCCAATTCTCATTCTTGTTATTATTAATCTTAGCTCATGTTATAGCATATAAGGTTTACATTAATTGAGCTTATTAGGTTCCTGTACATGGCATATCTTCATTCTACTTATCTCCCTTACTCCTCACCCTTCACCTTTGTTCCCTTGGACCACTTTTCTATTGTAAGAGACCCATCCCCTCATCCCCTTCTATCCATCCTTTATTATACTCTTCATACTTGGCCTCACTCAAGTGAGACATACCATACAATACTTAAGCTTGTGCCCGGTTTCACTCTCTTGAAAAAATATTTAGAGTGGAATTGTCAAGTCATATGTAAAGGCACATTTAACTTTATAAGAAATGCCAAGTTATTTTCCATACCGGTAGTGGAGTTTTACATTTCCACCAGCAATATCTGAAAGTTCTGCTTGTTCCACGTCCTAACCGACAATTGGGACTGTCTCTGAACTTTAGTTATTTTAGAAATATCTCACTGTGGTTTAATTTGCATGTACCTAATGACAAATGATGTTTAGCATCTTTTAATGCCCTTATTGCCTATTCAGATATCTTCTTTGGAGAAAAGCCTGTCTTAATCTTTGGTCTATTTTTTATTGGGTTGCCTTTTTTATTAGTACATGTTTGCAATACACAATACGTAAAGGGGAGTTGATACATATAGATATCTCATTTTAATTCTCTTTACCTCTTCTCCCTCCTCTCCCTAAATCACCTTCTAATCTCCACAAATTCTACCTCCTGTTTCCTATCTTTTATTTTGCTTTTTATTTTTATGCTTTAGGTTTCTCATATAAGAGAAAACATGTGATATTTAACTTTCTGAGTCTGGTTTATTTCACTTAGTGTATGGTCTCAACGTCACTTCCAAATCTTAGGTAATGTGAGTTGTGTTGCTATAAACATGGGGTATGCATGTTATCACCATAGAATATCACCTATTCTCTTTGAAGTTGTAAGCATACACATAAACTGCTTCATCATTTAATTAAAGTATATTTACAAACCAGGCAAACAAAGGCATTTTCCCACAAGGCCTATGACACTTCATCCTTTGAACCTACTGTAAAGTTAATTTCTTTTGGAAAGCCTTTATTATCTTTACCCTACCACCTGGCTCCACTTATTCCCACATGCTCTTAATCTTTTTCCCTGCCTCTGTCATTAACCAATGCAACTCTAATATTGCTCTTCTTTTTCCTCTTTCCTGCAAATATACTATATGCTTCTTGAAGATAGGGATTGTTTTTCATCTGTGTCTATCTGTAGCACTTTGCACAGTACCTAGCATATAGTAGGCACTCAATAAATCTGCTGAATAAAGCATGAATAGATTTATGGCTTAGATATTTAAAATTTATTCATAATTTATTTTCAAATCATACTCAGTTCAAGTTCAAAAAGTTCAAAATCAGTATGTTGTTGCAGGATGCTCCCAACTATTGAAACAACTCAATTAAAAAATATACAACTCACATTTTATTTTAGTTAAATTCATAATATAGGCAAAAGTAAAAATTATTATAAATATTTAATGAACTAATAATGCTTCATATTTTGCTTCTATCTTATCGTACACTACTACAGACACATAAAGAAGTTATCTAAAACTTTTCCCTTCCTAACTGTATCTCTAATTCTGAAAACTATAAAAATATTAATGAAAGTCATATCAGTATTTTTTTTCAAAAATTGAACTGACAAATCCCATCATCAACTTTATAGGAAAAGTATAAGTATTGGTACAAGTCAATGATGGAAAAATAGGTTCAAAATCATAAGTTGGTTCATCAATATGAAAGCACACAATGACACAAATGGTTTAAATTTTCATTCAAACAACTTCACATTTCTCTAAATGTATATCTGGAAGAAAGATGAATTGTCGGCCTATAATACAATAAATATATCAGTTGCTTACATTATCAAAAGTTGAAAATACTTAGTGGAAAACTTGGATACAAAATCTTATAGAAAGGAACATAATTAAATGAGCCTTGGACCTTTTACCACAAAAAATTAAGATTCTAATTTTAGTTATTACTTGGCTCTGGCACAGAAAAGTCTGAACTATTCATGTAAAACAGTAGCTTTTTATTTTCCATTTTATGTACAGCTGTCCAAATGATCTCTTTTTTGAGACCTGAAAAATGATTAGCTATTAGTTATGATTCAAGTTCTAGCATTGGCCATCCCTCAATGAATACTCTAGTAATGTACTGGCATAATGTGGTCTTCAGAATTTACACCATGTGAATATATAAGACACTGGTCCTTCTGATGACTACAATTTTTTTGATGAGTGGGACTCAGGACAAATTCCAAGTTACAGTACATTGTGTTAAAGTAAGGCTCTAGTGTATTCTGGAAAAGGAATAACAAACTATAGCTTCTTTATGTATTTACTGAGGAAAAATTATATAAACTTCTTACCTTGGATTACTAGATTCACATCTCCCCAGAAAACGTATCTGTTCTATACACTATTGATAACTTAGCTTTAAGTTTTAAGCAATTGATAGTATTACCTCTATTCATTTATGGCTTTTAAAACATTAAGTACTTAAATATTTGGAAAGTATTCATTATTCACTAATTTCTGACAGTTCATGAAAAAAAGTTGTAAACAGGTCGAAAAATGATAAAGCCTTAAAAAAACTCAGTTGTTTTTTTTTTTTTTGGTACCGGGGATCGAACTCGACCTTGCGCTTGCGCGGCAGGCACTGGAACCACTGAGCTAAATCCCCAGCCCCCAAAACTCAGTTTTTTAAAGGTTATTCAAAAACAGAAATTCAGGTGGAATGAAACATCAAAATCTCATTTAAAAATACATACATAATTCTCCATACGTAATTCCCTTCACAAAATAAACCTATCATCTTGCTTCTTTTTCAATAGTAGTGAAGATCACATGAAAAGTTTCTGCTGAGGTTCAGACACATAAGTAATTTAAGCAGTTTTTCCACTTTCAAAATAACCCTTCAGACAATCCCTTTTTAAGTTCTGGATTTTGAAAAATGGTAAATGTGACACTGATGTTCCCCTTCAGAATATCTCAGCCAATTTTCTGCATAGATTTAAAATAAGCATTTAAGGACTATGTGATATCATGTTGTACATTTCTAAATTAAAAAGTTAACTCTAAAAAAAAAGTTAACTCTATATTTAAGGTTACATACGATTAATAAAGGCTAGAAGGCTTTAAGAAGCTCAAAGTCTAAGTTTTAGCAGGCAAATAGTTGATTTCATGTAATTCTAATGACCAAAATTTTTGGTATGGAACCACAATTACTTTAAGTTGAGAAAATTTGAGCAAGGTAAGATTTATATAGATCCATGGTTTAAAAATATTGAGATACAAGAGATTTTTTAAGAATTTAAAAAACTTTTTTGGGTTATGAATTTATAGAATTAAGGAGACCTATAGTATGTATTGAAGGCTGTAGTTTACTTATTTGCAGTTTTCTAGTTTTTAAACTAATGAACAATTATACTCAAGGCCCGGGGATTTAGCTCAGTGGTTTTGCTGTCTGCCTTGCAAAGCACAAGGTCCCGAGTTCGATCTCCGGTACCAAAAAAAAAAAAAAAAGAATTATACTCAATGACCTATAGTCTCTTCTAGCTCTAAAGTTTTGATTATATTGTTCTGGTTTAAGATAGTTAAGACCAGGCTGGGGTGTAGCTAAGTGGTAAGTTTGTGCTTTTAGCAAAGGGCCTGGGTGCAATCCCCAGCACCAAAAGAAAAAGAGTTAAGATCATAGCTCAAACAAAGTTGTCTAAATAGACAATGTTGGCCCTGAAGTAAAGTTTTTTTCACACTTTTCTGGCTTTGGTCCCTCCTAGTCAGTTATTAATGGGAAACAAATATCACATAAGTGATTGGGGCTCTGTGCTTCATCTTCTCTAGAGCCCACAGTGCCCAGCACTTGTAACTGTGCAGTACTAACTGAATAATCTCAAATGAGTAACAATACTTCAAGAATGGATTAAGAATTAAAAAGAATCTAGAGATGGTAGTGGTAGCTTTTATAAAGGCTTCAAACAATTTTAAAACTAGGCTTCAGACTTACTTTGGTTTTTGTAAATAGGAAGAGGAAAATATGGCACAAGAATACATGGTTAAATCATATCGAAACTACAAGCAAGATCATATAAAAAATATGTTTCTATCCATGTATTGAAGTAAATTTTATTTATACTACTAGACCCCAGCTACTCCAGTTACTCTGAGAGATAATTATTTTATCAAAGACAGAAAAAAATATCTTCTAGTATTTCAGTTTTAATTGAAATTAAATTGCTTTGCTGTATTGTAGAGTGAGAAGCAATTAACGAATTTTTTTGGAAATAAAAAATATGTATATACATTATCCTGATGCCTAGGCCAAAATATATCTACCAACAAATTTTCTTGATTTCTATTAGTCATAAAAATAAAGGAAAAATATATTGCAAGTATTTTCTTTATATAGACAATTTCAATTAGAAAACAATTGTTTAATAAAAACAGTACAGTGCTTCATGTGAGTGGACTCATATGGAGGCAAAAGAACAAATCAAAACATGACAGACAACATACTATTTAACATACTAAAGAATATGTGCCTCAATGACACTATTTATAGGTCAGAGCTAGATTTTTACACATCTTACTTCATATTCAGGAAAAATACAAGTCAACAGGTTATCAACCCTAAGTTGTAGTTAAGAACCCCTTCTTTTGGCTTGCAAAATGTAGCCTTTCGATTTGATGATTCCTCTACTTTTCACAATGACCGAGTACCTCAGCAGCCACAGTGGTACCCATTCGTGTGCTTGAATGTCAGGGATGGTTTCCTGAAGAGCTTCTTGGAAACTTGCTTCAGAAAGCAGTTCTAAAACAACAGCAATAAAACCCCAAAGTATTAAACTCAAAAGCAAATGCACTTTACTCTGTACGTAAGCATTTAAAAACAGTAAACAAAGCACATCAAAACCAAACATAAGATATGCTTATCCTTTCATGTGTGCTGTAAATCTGAATCAAAATATCAAAAATGGTCCAGCAATTCTTTAAAAATTATCTATACTCCAGCCGATTTAATTCACAACTTTTGATGAGGTGGAGACTAGACATTTTGTGCGTGTGCGTGTGTGTGTGTGTGTGTGTGTGTTTTAAAGATCTCCAGGGAATTCTCAAGTTGTTTTTTTTTTTTTTTTTTTTTTGAGACAGTGTCTCACTATGTATTTTACTCCGAGGCCCAAACTAGTACAAACTTGTGGCATCCTCCTACCACCACGCCTGACTAGAAATTCTAAAGTAAAGCCAGGGAAAACACATAGAAAAAGAAAAAGAGAGAATCATAAGCCTACTAATTGGAAATGATACACTGTTTTCACTAGTATGTAATTCTTTGTAACTTTTTTTCTGGAGCTTTCTGAATATATATATATGTGTGTATGTATATTATTATATATTATATATAGTATAATAGTTTAATAATATATATAATATATACATATATGTATTTTTTAAATGATTCACAGAATAATTAGATGGAAAATATTCACATTGTCAGTGGAAAAAAGAGGTAAATTATGCTGTAACTACAGTATGATTTGAAATCGCATCGTTTAGCTCCTCCAATATTATTTAATGTAGATATAATTTATACATTTCCTTATTATTACTCAAAAAACACTCCAGTTTTTCCTAACTTTGCTAAGACTAATGCTATGATGACCATCCTTCAATGGCATGCCTGGCTATGGAATGAAGGGCTGAAGTACAAGTACATTCTTAAGCCTCTTGCATAGTATACTGCCAACTGCTTTCCAGAAAGACTGTATTGTACTTTACACTTACACCAGCAGCTGATATTGTGAGTGTTAATCTTTTTTTTGGTACCAGGGATCAAACTCAGGACCTTGCGCTTGTGAGGCAGGCGGCGCGGCACCACTGAGCTAATTCCCCGGCCCTGTGAGTGTTAAGCTTATATTCCTGATGAGCACCAGAAATCATTAAAAAATCTTTGACAATCGTTCTTGTTTGTATCTCCTCGTTATTTTCTAATTTGAAGTTTTTATCTAAACTCTTTAAAACCACTCTGGTGCTACATCTTCCTATTCTCTTCTTTATTATTTTTCTTCTGGGCACACTGGCCTCCTTCCTATATCCTGAAAACTGAAGCACATTCACATCTTGGGGTCTCTGAATCAGCTGTTCCCTCTTCCCAGAACACTCTTCTGCTATCTACAAGGCTTGCTCCCTTCCTTCTTGCCAGTCTCTGATTAATGTTACATTAGCAAAGAAGGTTTCCTGACCACCCTATATAAAACTACCACCCTTAACCTGGACACTTTCTCCCTCAGCCAACTTTTTTCTATAGCATATACCACCACTTATAATTTTAAATATTTATTTTATTGTCTGTCTCTTCCCATTAGATGATAAGTCCCATGAGAGCTGGGATTTTTCTGAGTTAGTATTGCATGTCTAGTTACCGAAAACAGTACTGCTCAAATGTCTTGAATGGATCAAGATGGAAAGATTCATCCAGGGTCAGAATCAACCATCCAAATGGCAAGTGAGTGACCATGTACACAGTATGATGTGGGAGTGCTAAAGTACCTGCCTATTCCAAGTGAACTGCTGTGATACGTGGGCAGCATTAACAGTAATTATGTAGGCACTTTTCTGAGTACTTTCCATATATGAACTCAGTTAACTCAAGTGTTTATCCTATGTGTTAGAAATTATCCTTTATAGGGAGAAACTGAGACAGTAAGAGGGTCTAAGGTCTCCCACAGCTCATAAGTAGTTTTCATTATGAGCAAATTATGAAAATGCAAATATCTCCTTAGAAAATAATATGGGATTGTTTATTAGACTGTCCAACAAGAAGAGGACCCTGAGGGAACAGGGCACAATAATAATTAGATTTAATGGAAATAGGGGGGAAAGGTAAAGTAAATAAGTAAATATTTTATGAAGTTAGTATCACCAATGTTACAATTTTACCCTAATGGTGGTTAAATTGTTACTGGGCCTTGTAGGACAAAGGATAATGGAAAACAAACTCATTCTAAGGAATAAAGACAGTTTTAGTACAGAGGCAGACCTTCAGAGGACTTATAAAAACAATTCCATGTCAGATGACAAGCACAGTTAAATGTTTTATAACTTGGTTCTTTAAAAATAAAAAACTTCAGGGCTGGAGATTTAGCTCAGTGGTTCTGGCACTGGCCTCACAAGCCAAGGTCCCGAATTAGATCCCCGGTACCAAAAAACAAAAAACAAAACAAAAAAACCTTCATACTTTAAAAGTCAACTATGTTAACTCTTCAGAATCAGTAAACATGGCAAATCAAATAAAAATTTCATTACAGATTAAAGGGTCTAAAAATTCATTAGTGGTATATGCACGATCAGCCTAGAAATTCTAACAAGAATGTTCAGGATCAAAATAAAAGATGGATTAAATATCCTCTCCCCATAAACATATATATTTTACTATAACAATGATGTTTTAGCAAATAATCTAAATGCCAATGTTTAGATATACAGAAATAAAATACTAGACACCTTAGTTTTATCCTACTGGAAAAACTGAGTTTTCTTCCCATAGAAGTGGAAGAGGATACAGGCTGGATCAACAGCTGAACAATGACTGTGATCAGTACCCCTCAAATATAAACAGATCCTGATGTGATAAAACATCTGCCAACATAGGCAAAGTTAAAATTTAAATGGTTTATATTTCAAAATAAATCATCATAGCAATTCATTGTTAGACTTTTCACTAAAATGACTGTTCTTTAAAATTTCTCACTTACATACAGCTTCGATGAAACATTTATGTTTGCAAGTTATGTTGAACATCCTCTTCCCAGCTTTTCTAGTTATCCTGTCAAATGTTGATAAATTATTCTACAGAAGGCAGATAAGCCTTTCTCATTAATCAAATGTTTCTGATTAACACTAAACATACACATCCTACAGTGAGGAATAAAATATCTGATCAGTACTTAAACTAAGATGCTTACTAAGTTTTGATTAAAAAGTATATCTGCCTCTTTCTGAAGATATTTATACAAGTGGCCCTTTGGTCCAGTCTTTGCTGTACTAGACATTTTATACACATACACACTCACATACACACACACACCAAAAATAAGACATTTTTAACTAACTCATTAACTTTTAATGAACTTATCATTAAAAATACTTCTAGAAAACAGTAATTGTCCATTTATCACTATATACACTTAAGTTAAATATCAATAATGTTAATTTTTTCTTTCTTTTTTTGAAGCAATGAGGATTGAACCCAGGGTCTCAAATGCTAGGCAAGCACTCTAACACTGAGCTACTCTTTCAGCTCACCATCAAATAGCTTTTGTAAGACAAAAACTTGATCTCTATAAATTATCAAACTTACCTTTTGGATCATTATGAGTCAACAGCTGTATGTCAAACTGTTTAGCAAATGCAGTCAAATCAGGTGGCATCACACAGCAGGAGGCAAGATTAACTTGGTTACTATTTGGTTTTACCTAGAAGTAAAAGGAAAAGGAAAACTGTAACATCTTTACTAGATTAGCTAATACACAAAGTAGAAAGCAAGAGAAAGGACTTAATTTTAAGACATGAAAAAAATCACATTCTGTAGTGCTTAAAGTTTAAAAAATTTGTATGAATATTTTTATTAATATATGCTTTCTAAACTCATGTTAGTAGAACAAAAAAAGGAAAAATAGCTTTAGGAGGAAGAAAAGGCCAGTATAGTACTATAGTAGTAAAAATGTCTCCTGCTAGAACCATTTAGAAATTTAACATATCTGCCTTGAAAACAAACACGATTCTAAATACGATGGTTTCAGTAACAGAGGAAACATCTTAAAAGTAGATGATCAAATACAAGTAAGTACATTTAATGTCTAAAATCAAACACATTTCAAAAGGGAAAAATTCGATAATTTCTAATAGCTTCAGTTTATCATCTGGAACCCTCTCCTGGAGTTTCTAAGCTATACTAGCTACTAAGTCAAAAGGAGAAGGTGCAATTTTTTCACTAAGAAACTCTACAATCTATGAAAAGAAGGCTGAGGATGATATAAAAGGAATTTAATAAAAATATGGAGAGTAAAGGTAAAATACTAGAAACTTCCTTCATAATTAGGTAGGTTATTAGACCAGGAAGTAGGGGCAATTTATCACACCCACTCCATATCAAGTTGTGTAAAACTGAGTCTTACAAATGTTTAAATAAGAGCAAAATAAATAATATTATATTATATATAATATTTTCCTATATAGGAAATTAAGGTCGTGGCTTTAAAATACCTAAAAAAAAACGTAACAGGGGCCAGGGATTTAGCTCAGTGGTTCTGCCGCCTGCCTCGTAAGCGCAAGGTCCCGAGTTTGATCCCCAGTACCAAAAAAAAAGAAAAAAGAAAAAAATGTAATAACATGCGTAAAACTGATAGGAACAGCCTTTATCTGTCTACTACAAAAGCTTCAACACACTTTTCTAGTGTTTTTGTCATTCATTTTAAGTTAGATTAATAATCAGTTCAATTAGACATATACATTAAAAAAAAACCCAAAACCCTTAAGCTTGGATAAAGCCTGTGTCAAACTCTCGTATATGGAACAGTTACCCCTCAGTGAATGTGCACTATGTCCGTGATGCTCAGTAGTCCACAGCAAAGGCTAAAAAAGCTAAGTTCCTCCCCACACTGCTCAGGATCTGGCCATTCTTTACCTGTGCCCACTGATACAGCTGCTCCAACTGTGTTTTGTCTAGGTCAGAGGTACCTATAGCAACAATTTTCTTGCTTTGGACTAAGTTTTCTAATTCCTCCCAGTAAGGCTGTAAATGCTCCAAGGAAAGATTCACTCCATCTTCAATAGGAGGTGAAGCAATGATCACAGAATCCAGCTGTGCAACTCCAAGGACAGAACAGGCTGATGGGAAGAAAAACACAGAAAGGATAAATAATGTCTAATAAAAATAAGAATTTGTAAAGTCTTCAAAGTGTCCCACTAAATCTGTTCCATGTCACTCACTAATTTCCTATATAACAGATTTTCTAACTTACCTTTAATTTACAACATTACTATCTTTTAAAAAAACTTTAAGTATCCTTTCACCTACTCTGTATGCCAGACAAATGTACTCTGACCACATCTAGCTACCAAGTGAAGCTCACAGCCACTACAGATTTTCCTTTCTGAGGAAAAGGATTCCTTCTTATTTCCTAGGCCCCAGGACATTTTGGTAGATTCCTTTTCTTCATACAATTTCTTCAATTCTACTTACTCAAAAGTACATCATATGGATAATGCCAAGAATTGACATAATATTCTGTAACTGGTGGTCAGAGCAAGTACTTCTGAGATTCTGAAAACTAAACAATACCCTGTATTTATTGTGGTAGATAATTTCTTAATTTCTACAGAAAGTTTATTTATTTGAAATTATTGCTCATTCTACAGTGATATTAAAGGCAATCATATAACATATAAATATTGGAAGAATGTTTTAGAAGAAAAAGGATTTAGTAAGTGTAATACCACAATATCCTAACCAAGGACTGAAAACAAGATCCTTTTGTTCTTATTTTTTATTTTGTTTTGTCTATAATAATAAAACAGCTAAGAATATGATTAAAGTAAATTTCTATCCCAAATCAGTTAACATTTGTTACATCTTTTACATTTCTCTTGTATATAAAATATAACCCTATATGAGTCAGTATGATTCTATAGAAGCCTTGAGAAACTAGGCTATCACAGAATTAGAGAAAACAATCATGAAATTAATTTGGAACTAGCAGAGACCTAGAAGAGCAAAAGCAATTCTGGGCAACAAAGGCAAGGCAGGGGCATCACAATCCGTGACTTGAAATTATACTACAAAGCTACTGTAATATAAACAGCACGGTACTGGAAAAAACAAAACAAAACAAAACCAGACCTGAGGATCAATGGAACAGATTAGAAGATGCAGAAACAAATCCAAACACACTCAGCCACCTATCTTTGACAAAGGAGCCAAACACCTTCACTGGAAGAAAGATAGCCTCTTTAATAAATGGTGCTGGGAAGACTTAAATTTGCTGGAAGATAGAATAGGTAGAACTCTTGAAGATACTGGTGTAGGCAAAGACTTTATGAGCAAAACCTTGATCGCACAGGAAATATCACAAAGAATCAACAACTGGGATCTCAGCTTATTAAAGAGCTTTTGCACAGCAAAGGAAATCACCAAGAGAATAAAGTAACAACCCACAGAGTAGGAAAAATTTTTTTCCAGCTGCTCCTCAAAGGACTAATATCTAGAACATATAAAGAATGCAAAAAATCAGATCCCCCAAATTTAAAGACCCAGTCCAAAAATGAGTGTCTGAAATGAGTAGAAACTTCTCAGATGAAGAAGTAGAAACAGCAAATAAATATATGAAAAAATGTTTAAAATCATTGGTCATTTCAGAGATGCAAATTAAAACAATGCTGAGATTGCATCTCACTCCAGAAAGAATGGCTATTACCAAGAAATCCACCAGTAACAAATGCTGGCAGAGCTGTGAGGAAAACAAACCTTTCTTCACTGTTGGTAGGAGTGCAGACTGATGCAAACACTGTGGAAATCAATGTGGAGACTCCTCAAAAAACTACAACTAGAGGTTCGATTTGACTCAGCTATTCTTCTTCGTATCTTCCCAAAAGAAAAGCATTATACCACAGGGATATATGCACACACATGTTTATAGCAACAGTTTGTGATAGCTAAATCTTGGAAACAGACCAAATGCCCATCAACTGAAGAATGGATAAAAAAGATATGGGTTTTTATACAGTGGAGTACTACACTGCCATAAAAAGGATAAACTTGAGACATTTTTAGGCAAATGGATGTACCTTGAGACCATTCTCTTGTGAAACAAATGGGACACACATGTTTAAAAATCACATTGTTTCTCTGGTGTGAGAAACCAGAAAGGTAAATAAGGACCAAAATGTATAACAGATATTGTGAAATGGTAAGAAAATATTCAAATGGGAAGTAGAGCTAGAGAAGGGGAAAGGGAAAGGAAAGAAGGGACAAGGAAAACAAAGCTTTTGTAAATAAGAAAAGGAAGAAAGATGGAAGGGAAGGGAATGGAAGGGAAGTAAGGGAAGGGAGGGAAGGGAATTGGGAAGAATCAAGATATATATAAAATTCTCTATGATGAATATTATTATTATGTATATCTAAAATGTACCAATAAAATTAATTTAAAAAAATTTGACACTCAAAAAAAGTAGGCTACACATTCATGATAAAAACCATACAGAAGACTGGAACAGATGGTCTCTCCCTCAATCTGATAAAAGGCATCTATGAAAAACCAACAGCCAATATCGTACTAAATGGTCAAAAACTGAAATAATTCACACTAAAATCAGGACCAAGATGAGGATGTCCACTATCACCACTCCTGTTCAATATAATTTTGGAAACATTAGCCACAGTAATTAGTTGAGAGAAAGAAATGAAAGGAATAAAGACAGGAAAAGAAGAAGTCAAATTGTCATTATTTGCAGATGACATGATACTCTATATAGAAGACCCAAATAACTCCACCAAAAGTCTTCTAGACTTAACCAAATTCAGTACAGTAGCTGGATACAAGGTCAACACACAAAAATCAATAGCTTTTCTGTACACGAACAACAGACTCACTGAAAGAGGAACTAAAGAAAGAACTTCCTTCAAAATAGCATCCAAAAAAAAGATATACCTAGAAATCAACCCAACAAAAGAAATCAAAGACCTCTACTTTGGAAAACTACAGCACTCTGAAAAAAGAGATCAAAGAGGATATCAGAAAATGGAATTCCTTGTTCCTGGGTGGGAAGAAGCAATATAGTGAAAGTGGCCATACTTCCAAAATAGCTATATAGATTCAATGCAATCCCAATTGAAATTCCAACAGCATACTTCACAGACCTTCAGAAAACAATTCAAAAATTCATTTGGAACAAGAAGAGACCTAGAATA